GTTTAGGGGTTTAGGGTTTGTAGGGCTTTGCAGTCCATCCTTAACTTCAGGAATCGAATCGCCCGGATTTGCGGCATTGCAAATCGAGGGTTTCGACTCTCACGCTCGCGTAAGGCAGGTAAGGGGGCTAGGGTTTTCAGAGGATCTTTGCTTCTTGGTGGGGCTCCTTTACGGATCGAGGCTTAGGATTTGGCCTCGAGGAGCCCTTCAGTGTAGACACCTGATGCCTTCACCTCTTGAACCATGGAACCTTGATCCAGAACACCACCCCCCCTGAGTTTCCGCAACCACTACACTTAGGCATTCAGGAGTACCTCAAGATTATATCTTGAATCATATGATGACCATCCATATTCACTAAGAGCGATATCGAGGTCTCTGGGAAAGTGCTGCTGAGCAGCGTGACGTCTGCCCAGGAGTGGCGGCGGCTGGAGTTCGGCGAAGAGCTCGGCGAGGCCGAACGTGGGCGAGGTGTTAAGAGAGCTTTGCCTAGGCGAGCTGGGAATGAAGAAACGCCCGAATTCCTGAATTTCCGGAAAGACCGCGCCTGTGTAAGCCTGTATGCACACACGCTTGTCTTATGCTATAATTTCTATGACTACATCTACCTGTTCATGTATCCACATATATATATATATATAGCACCCGCGCGAAATGCATTTAATCTCTTGTGTGTAGGTCCGCTTGGCACTCGGGCATAAGGGGGGCCCGGGCCTGTGTTGGGGATCAGGATGCAGGTGCTAGGCTCAATTGAGTGGTCCCTGCACAGATAAACCCGTCTGCCGCTATCTTCTAAGGCCCTAGAGCCCTGCATTCCGTTCTTTTCAGGACTGCCCCTAAACTGAGCAGCCAGAAACCTTGCAACTTTGCGGCTCTCTTGGGCGTCGCAAGTTTGCTTTGTGGCCGCGGCCTGTGCGGCTGCGGCTGCTGGGCACCTATGGCAGGGAAGAGCAGGAGTGAACATCTTTGACTCGCGATCTTCGGATGGAAGGGGTTCTTTGCCTCTCGGGTTTGGGGCTAAAGCTTATGAACTTATGGCTTCGAACAGAGGATGATGTTTAGGGTCCACTATGGAGCTAAGATAATTCAAGCTTTATAGGGATCCCAGGATGTTTTATGACAGGTGTTGTGGACCCGGGAGGAACCCCACCTGCTCTGATGGTAGCGCAGGCTGTGCGACAACATTTGCTTCCCGCAGCCCGGGCATTCCTTCAGGAAGGACTCCCCAGTGCAGCGCGGAGAGGGGACCTCCGGGTAAGGCGTAGACGGCGTGTCATGCTTTTATGGGCTCCCTTACCCCCCAAGTACCTACTATTTGGGGTACTGGAGCCCCTAAGGCCCTATATAGTAGGTACCTGGAGGGTTCGGGTCTAGTTTACTCGGCTTCGAAGCTTTCCGGTCTCGACTCGTAGGCTCGCACAAGGCAGGTACCTCGGATTTGGGGTGTCGAACTTCGGGGTTGAATGACTCCTACTATGCTGAAAGCGCAGTGCGTTGTCTCGCAGCAGATCCTCGAGCCTTAGCTTACACTTCTAACCTGAAACCTTGCCTTGATTTGATTGACAAGACATGCCGGTGCCGAGCTGCCTGGCTCCAGGACATACGGAGACAGGATGTCGCTGCATCCTTCTTCATCTTTACCTGATGGGTGTGAGTGTGTATGTGGGCCTGTTCTGATGCGAGGAGAAAAAGTTCAAGATTGGTCTGCTTGTCTCTCTTCACCCGAATCACACTACGCTTCGTGACATCACCTGTGTGCCGTCCGACCTTGCTGCCGTTGGGCTCGCTATGGGCGCTGTGATGGTAACACTATAGCACCTATTGAACACCAAGTTTCTTACTTAAACCAGAAACGACAACTGACAATAAGTCATTGTCAAGACCTTAAGCAACAGCAGAAATCCAACCCCCACCCCCCCTCCTAACAGGGTTTAAAAGGTTTTTGGAAACTGGTTCCTGCTTCGCAGCCAACGATGGTTCCGAGGGTTGATACGCTTGGATGAAACTTCGGGCGCTGATTGCAAGAAACGAACATAAAGCTTTCTGAGGCTGATGGATTCTACGATCACGTTCTTCAACAGACATTCCAACATGCGCTAGTCACCTTTGGCAGGAATGTTTCAGAAAACCTGCCAACAGGCTGTGAATGTGGCATCCTGAGCCATCAGCAAAATCCCCGAAAAGTCGCCAGAATGTGCGGAAGGTTTTTCCGCATAGTTTTTCTAAAAAAGAAAACTATTTTATTAAAATATAATTTTACTCCTTTTTAAAGAGGAAGGAATATTTTATTAAAACCAAAAAATTCAAAACCATTTCTTTGCAAACGGTGAGCACAACAACAAAATCTAATTAAGCAGCAAAGCAATCCAGAGTCGTGTTGCGCTGTTGCAAACAGACCTGCAAGCATATTTGACGAATCCGTTGTGTTCTCCACATTGGGCCAGACAAGCCAGCCATCTCCACGGCAAAGAAACCCAAGCGGGTACTTGCCGGGCGAATTATCTCAACAGACAAATGCGTGAAGAAAACACAATCATTCAATCGTGTTTCCCGGGAAGGAGACTGAAATTACAGACTATAGTTTAAAAACCCAGGGGTGGGGGATAGGGATCACATGTGGCTGGTGATTAAGCTTTAGTTGGTGCGCTGTTGCTTCATAGCAGCAGAAAAGACGAGGAATAAAAATATAATAGCAACAGCAACCATCTTCACTATAACCAACGTGAATGCCTACAAAACTAGTTGCCACAGCTTATGTTCCGCAGCGTGCTAATGCAAACTCCGACGTGACCAACACACCGACCCTACAAAGACATACGACGATGTACAATTGTTTCACGATGTTCTAGGCAAGATTAGGATAGGAGAATTTAGCAACAATATCCTGCTTTCGTCCGCAATACAAATTCAAATCATAGAGGCCCTTATATTCCGATGCAATGCGTCCCTCGGCCTTGTCGGCTTCTGCGTTCTCCCGACAGAACTCACGCTCCCTCCAGGCGCGAAGCTCGCAAAGCATGTAGCATCGCTCCTGTCTTTAGGACTTGAGGGTTCTGCAGGACTTTGAGGCTTGAGGATGGGTCTTCAGGTCAAGGATGGGCGAGGAGTCTAGGCAGTTCGCTAGGGTAAAACGACGGACTGATGTCATGCACATTATGCTGAGAGTTTACAGCGCTTGGTATAAAAGGGTTCAAATCCCAAGGCCCAAACATAAAAGGGTTCAAATCCCAAGGCCCAGACATAGGGCATCTGATGTCTCGTTGGCTTTGCAGTTCGGAATGCAAAGCTTCAGGGCTTGGTAGGCTTTTCGGCCCGTCAAGGGCTTGGTATCTGGGAGCTGTCTTCGGACAGCAAAAGCTGTGAGCTGCGTGCCAGAGCCTAAAACCTTGGCTCCACAGAACATGATCAGCATGGTTGGGATCACCAGCTTGCAACTGTCTTTGGGACGAAACAGCTTGAGCCGCGAGTTCCCTCCCGGGGCGGGCAGAAGTGTCCTGGTGGTTAGGCAGCAGCCCCGCGCGCACCTGCTTGTGGCAAATCGCGCATGTCACCGTCTCACACGAGGTCTCCCCAAAAAGGGCAAACGGCATGGCTGGGATCCGCGCCCTCTTCTGCTAGCCCGAGGCTTGAGCCACAGGATATGTGCGTTCCTGTCACTGCTAAGATTATTCGAAACTTCTGACATGGTGTTGGTCAGACTTGCAGCTTCGCGCACAGGTGATCTGTTCTCTTCGTGCTTTCAGCCTCGGGGAAGCTTGTTAGTTTGGGCCTGCTTGAAACGCCCACAACTCCACTTCGAGCGCACCCCTGGCCCGAAATCTAAGAGTTATTCATAACACCGGCCGGTGCAAACCTCGTAAGCCCTAAACCCTTGAAAACTATTCAGAATCCCAGCCCCCCTTACCACAAACTGCCCGAAACCCTACCAAAGGTCCGTGTCGAAGCCCTCGCGGGCTGTCGTCACCTTGGACGGTCGATTTCACGTGCTCAGGACTGACTGCTCTGGGATGGCGATAGATGGGGCAGAGAGTGACACCGAAAGTGGTGCGATCAGACGAAAAAGTGCAAACCGTGATGAGGAAGGCAATGGTGCTGCACATTCTGCTTCGCAAGATATTGCAAGGCCATCAAAACCTGCAGATCCAGAACCTGGATAATCGAAACAGTGACTCTGTTGCCTGAACCCCAAAAGACAAGATCTGAAATCCTATACAACCCTTGGCCGAACACTGAACCATAAACCACCAAGGACCTATTTTTTGTAGCCGCAAGCAGTATATCTTTCAAAGCAAACTTCCCCAAACTACCTCCTTCTGATCCCAAACGGTTGAAGCTCAAAAGCCCAGAACCCTTTCGAGGCACAGATTTGCTCCGAGGCTGGCAAGCCTGGCCCTCTAAACCCTACAGGCCTCAAAAATGAACTTTTTTTTCACAAGGGACTCGTCTGCTGCCCTTACTGCCCAGCTTGACCCACAAGACAGTACTCATGACTATGATGCGAGACCGGCCACTATCCTAAGATGCCCCTGATACAGAAACCCTATAACTTTCGGCTCTACACTCCGAAAGTTGTGCTGGGAAGCCCTGAACTCCCGGCTACTGCCGAAAACGAATTTTAGCCCACAGTGTGATTCTTCCTTCAGGTTTCGTGGTTCTAAAGTTTTGCGTTTTGGGCTTGTGCCTAAACGGTTTTGGCGCTTGGTGCCTGTTTTGGTGCAATCCGAACTTGACATTCTGGGATTCGCGCTTCAAGGGTGGATGGAGTTCAGGAGTCGGGGTGTCAGAATCTGCTTTCCGGTATTCATGAAATTTCGAAGATGAGGCATTCAATCATTCAATGCTTGGTGGGGGTGGCTCCGGGTGCAGCGGTCCAGCTCAGGGTTACTAGTGTTGGGCTGAGTGGTCCGGAGTGAACCATGAATACACCGGTACGCCTGTATAGAACCACAGCACCCTTCTTTGCAACCTAAACTAGCCTCATGAACGCTGAGCCCCCAAACCCGAAACCTTGAAAACACCTTAAACTGACGACGCACCAAAAGTGAAAGCCGAAACCCTAAAGCTCTAAAGCCACAGACTCTGAAACTGAATCCTGGGCCAACCGACAAAGCGGGGGCGCACGTAGGTCCAAGGGCCCATATTTTTCGGCTCCTCCTGGACCAAAAACGGTCATTCACGAGCTGTCCCAATAGTCTGCAAATGGCAGTCGATGAATAAAGTTTGCAGTTGTAGTTGTGCTTCTAGATTTGATTCTCCAGCAAGGCGCTTAAACCGTTTAAGGTTAAAGTGTCTACAAGACTCCGTTCGGTCAGAGAAGCGGCAGCAAACCACAAACTCCAAATCAAACACCTGGAACTCTGGGCCTAATTTAGAAGCCTTATTGCAATTAGTAAAGGGCTTTTGGGGTACATTCTTGAGGACAAGAGGGCGGCTACTGTTACTACTTGCTCCATCTAATTCCGGCCCATATAGTATCAGCTTTTGGTAAAAGGCGCACATGGCCTGGCACCACACGAACTGCCCGGGATGAACGCCATCTCCAGCATCCACGTTTTTGTAGGTTGCCATGACCTCGAGAAACTATTCCGTCCCTCATGTTCTGGGTGTAGCTTGGGTTGTGGCTTGGTTATGGGACTCAGGCGAGATGGGTTTTGACCCTAAACCCTAAACCCTAAGCATCGGAAGGCCCTGAGGGCAATCCCGGTAGCCGAAAGTCATAGTCGCCCTGAAACCCAGATTCCGACTTCCACTGCGCAGAAGGTCAGGGTTTGGGCTCTGAGTTTCGGAAACCTGGGGCGAGGTAGGCAGTTGAGGCCGAAGCACTCTTTTGTGTATGCCCGAACCCGAACTCAATTCAAGACCTGCAGGTAAGACCCCGTCCAGCAATTGTGGAAGACATCGAGTGAGGGGTCTGGCTTCAGGTGTTTAGGTGGCAGGGGCGTTCTCCGACATGAAGATGCCCCGCACACTCTCACCTGTAAGCCTCTATGTGGTGTGTCAGTTCCGTCTACATGCCCTCCAGAGTGCCAAGGTCGTCTTAGCTCAGCGCGAACCCCTTCGACTCTCCAAGAAATCAGAGAACCAACCCCTCGAAGTCCTAAGTCCTAAGGCCCAACATCCCCATAACCTTACGCTGTCGGACTAAGAAACCCTCTAAAGCCTGAAGCCCTAAACCCTGCACCTGCTTCACCCGGTCGAAGGGGAAGGGGGCGAGCTGCTCGATGGTGACGATGGCCACATTCTTTAGGCCGAGCCTGCTCACCATGTGGGGGTTTCCGAGAATAGGGGACCTTAATATAGTACCCAAATAGGAGGATCCTTATTATAAGGACCGCAAAATACGGTACCCCTAATTTTCGGAAACTCCCATGTCGGCTTTCGGGAGACCCTAGATGCTTAGGGATTCTTAGGGCTTAGGATCTCCGAAGACTGCCAAAGCCCACCGAAATTTAGGGGCCTCACTTTCTTAATGGATAGACTTGGGGTATGGGGTATATTACCATGCCGTTTTTGATACGGGACACTAAGGGTGAGTAGTGGCGAGTATTCAGGCTTCTGTGCCTAACCACAAGGCCAGATGACTCCTCAAGTCCGAACTACGCTATTTTTTGCATCCCGTGGATTTCTGTCTTGAGTCATGATAACCCTGACCCACAAGCCTTCAACCCCAAGCACGATTGAGGCCTTAGGCCGGAACATGGACCTGAAGGGCGAGACCAACATCCCAAATCTAATGAACACTCAAGCCTCAAGAACTCTAAACTTACATCCTCAGGGCACGACGGCCCAAGTTTTTGGGGTTCTTGAAGTCTTGGGTCTGGAATAAGAAAACTACTCAAAGACCGTATCTAGGCATCTGTTCGGCAGCCCTGGTGCATAGAGTATAGAGCCCTCAACCCCAAACCGTAAACAACGAGTAAAGTTTTGAGAGCCCCGAAACCCTAACCCTAAACCCTAATGCCCCAAAGCCCTAAAGCCCTATAACCCTAAAACCCTATAACCCTAAAGCCCTAAACCGCCTAAACCCCAAAAGGCCTCTCTCGCTCGGCCACCAGCTCGTAGTAGATCTTTCCGCTACAGAAGATCAGGCGCTCCACCTGTTTTCCGGAACATGGGGGAGCGGATGGATGATCTACCTAGACCCTCTACTAGACCCCAAATACCCATTAGTTGGGACCATATACCCATATTTCAGGGTACAAGGAGGGTCCTGGTAGGGTTTAGGTTGCAGAGTCTCAAGCAGCTTCAAGATGAAGGCTCTCGAAACGAGCTGTTGAAGACTTGTTGAAGCAAGCTCACCCTGTGATCTGAACCGGCCAAAACCACCCTGTTTAGGGTTTAAAGCCTGTTCTGCCGGAATTGATACCCCAACCCCCCAGGTACCTACTATATAGGGTACTAGAGCCCCTAGGGCCCTATATAGTAGGTACCTGGAAGGTTAGGGATAAGCTTAAGAAGCTCGTCAGAACTCATCGGGCAACAATTGAGCAGCAGGAACCAACCTAAACCCTCAACCCTAAACCATTTTATAGACATGGCGCCTTGTCTGGGTTGCCAGCTATCTCCGGGTCTCTCTCGCCAATGAGGCGCTGAAATCGCGTGTCTGCCTGGCGGATAGGTTTGTATCTAACGAATTTGTTTAGGGTTTAGGGTTTTAGGTTCGATGCTTTCCCCCTAGACCTAAACCTAAACCTAAACTCCTAAACCCTAATGCTTTATGTTTGGGGCTGGTGGGCTTGATGACCCCGGACCCTCAACCGCCCAATCACTAAACCGTGCTCGATGCAGCTTTGACGGAGAGACTCTCCGAAGCCCTCTTATATATATATATATATATATGTATATATATATATATAGTTATATAGTGTTATTATTATGGTTACTAGTACATTAATATTACTGTTATATCATGATTATCATGCTTTTCTCCCACGTCAAAAGCAATTCAGGGGGTGTGCTTATGGCACATGGACACAGTAAGTCAGTGTCTAAGTGGAGTTATTCTAGTGCTCGTATTCGGTCTCGTTGGCTCTCTTTCGGGTCTGGAGAGGTTACGGTTGTTAATATGGGGCACATATCACATTGCAGGCGCTGCGGCGGTTGATGAGAGTGACTTTGGCTGTTCGGCCGCTCAGCGTTCAACAGACATCTTGCTCTCTCTCTTTCTCTCTGTCCCTTTCTCTTTGCCCCGAGATTTTTACGCATATTCTAGTCTCGAGAACTTGACGTGTGGGGAGCCTCGAAACTAACTGCTCCAACGGACGGCACTCCTCCAAGAACACACGAAGACGATAATCTTGAATCCTCCAGCCCAGGTTATGGGGAATTTTAACGTTCACTGTACCTACGTTTAAGGCTCGGCCATCCCTCGAAGTCACGGGGGTCCAAGAAACCAACAAACTTTTGTAATCGTGGGCACCCCCAAAACCCATGACTCCCATGTCAGAGAAGGCAGTACATCGGGGGGTATTATGCTCAATAACAATCCAAAAAAAACATGTAAATCATTTCTGCCGACGAGCGGTGCCTAGATACTTTAATGTCAAACATGGTGTAATGTTGTTGCTTGGACGCTTCTCTGAACACCTAACCCAACCACATTCGTAAAAGGTTAACGGCTTCTGGAGCTTATCGTCCGTGCCTCCATGTCAGAAATGGGGCTCACGCCTAAGTGGTCGGCCGACGAGAGTGGCATGGGGCTACTGTCCTCGATTCTGGAGAGAGGGCACCTTGTCAATTACCGGCAACGTGATGAGATTGTCTAACCAGAGCTTGCGGAGGTAACATGTAGGTAGTGCATGCTACAACACAACACAACAAACACACATAATGTGTGTGTGTGTGTCTGCATACATAGATACATATGTACATGTAGGTGTGTATGTACGTATATATCTGTGTATATATATATATATATGTAGGTATGTGTGTATGTACATATGTACGTATGTAAGTATGTATATCTGTACCTAAGATAAGTATGCATGACTATGTATGCATGTAGGTAGGTAGGTAGGTAGGTAGGTAGGTAGGTAGGTAGGTAGGTAGGTGGTAGGGTAGTGCATGTATATGTGAGTCTTGTATATATATATATATGTTTGTATGTAATAAAGTATGCATGCATGCACTTATGCATGTTTGTATGCATGCATGCATGCATGCATGCATGCATGCATGCATGCATGTATGTATGTATGTATGTATGCATGCATGTATGTATGTATGTATGTATGAATGCAAGTCTGCACGTATGTGTGTATGAAAGTATGTGTAGATATCTACATATGTACATAAAACATATATATATATATATACATACATATTTATGCATATACAGGCTACATGTGCACCTTCACACATACATGTATTTGGGACTACATCTAGAACTCAGGGTCTGCTATTCGGGTTCCGTCCCATCTGACTCTCTGCAGGTCAAAGACTATGGCGGCTTAAGACCTGGACAGCCAGCGCATGAGCTCTCAGCACACAGCCAGACCGTACGCTTTAAATGTAATGGTGGCTGCTGCCTGGGAAAACCCAAAGCTTCTCAGTTACCCAGATGAAGAATGGCACCTGCTCGTTCTGGAGTATAACGCTGAACCCCAAGGCATTACAACACCCAACAACCAGAAGACCACACCTGACCCAAAACCGGATACCCCCCAGTAGGCAAGAATCTCCTTTGGCCCCTTAAACGACGCATCCCAAAACTCGAATCACACAACGTCTCCCGAGGTCACTGCACTGGCGCAGGCGGAACAGATTCTTCGGTGAGGCTACAACCATCGGCTTCCTGTGCAACTGCAGAGTTTGTTCAGGTTGGGGGCTGTTGATGGGTCTAGGGCATTTGTGAGAGTTGACTCCTTCGAGTATTCGGGACACCATCAGTATGTCCATACCGAGTTCAAGCATGGGCGGGCCATTCAGCAAGACTGCTGAGGGACAGAGGCCTCGACACATTCGCTGCAGTTGTGTCTTGTCTGTCGAGGGAAGGATACGGTGGTTTCAAGGTCAAAGGAGACAGGAATTCTACCGGGTCAGTACAAAACTTTGACCACATAATACTCCCCCCAACGAGGCCGTGGTAAGAATATGCAAGAAAGAAACAGCATGTACTTAGAGGCATAAAACCTGGCTCACGTGCTACGGATATTACAATGAAGTTAAACATGGTAGCTCGCAGCAAGACCGTATCATATGGACATAGTGCACGTGTTCGAGCACCGCAATGCATAAAATGCAAAGATATTACACACAAGTACATACACATACATACACCTACATGCGTGTGCAGGTATAGGCAAGTATCTAACGCACTGCAGATATGTCTTGAACTGGAAAGTGCTGAAGTGTAACATTCGCATCGAACGCCCGGCCAAGATGGCAAAGCCTGCGCGGTAGGTTCGAACTTGCACGTAATTACGGCAAAACATACAGTCAAGTAGCAACGGTGTGGGTGCCATGCATTAGGATGCACTTTCGGCGTAGCAAGCAGGCTCCAAACCAGTGCAAAGTTTAGATTTGCATTCCCCCAACTCGGACTATCCACTAGGTTGGCAAAACGGACATGGGCAGTGTATTTCGGGTGTGCGATGCTGCAGCACTCGGGAATGCAGCCCTGAGGTACTGGACGGTACCGGGTTTAACGTAGATGTCAGCTTCAAGCTCCTGCCTGAAATCCCGATGCTGCTGCCGACGCAGGGCATGGAAGTAGTTCGCCGGAGTGGAGAGGTTCATGACCTGATCGGCGAACCGCAAAGGGATCTGAATTTACTCCACGCGATTACGAGTACAGTTCGATGCCACCAGTATCCCCAACACCCCCAAAGAGCTAAATGATAACTTAGACACCCTTACATGCCTAATTTATCGTACTATAGGATCTCCTCAACGGAGATGCGGGCATATAGGCCACAAGGAACCCTTAATATTCAGGGGACATAAGAGGACAAAGCAGAGACGGAGTTGACCGACCCAATCCATCCTGCTCTAAACAAGAAGCCTCATAGTCGTTGAACATGGAAACAACGACCATCAAGTTCATCATCATGATCGCATTAAACCCCCATCTTTGAAAGACATGCGCACCGTCTCCTTCATCACTGCCACGGTCTTCATCGGCATTACCACGGCATCGAGCAAGTCATCCCCAACAAGAACCAACTACCAAGCGCACAGGACCAGAGCTCACCAAGAATGTTGATAGGGACTGGGAGCAAACCGTAATCCATAGTGCAAAGACCTGAGCAGCTAGAACTATAGGTCTTCTTACTACACGAAACCGTAACACCCTCAACCCTAACACCCTAGCATCTCGGAGATTGGACTCCTAAGGCACCCTGATTTCAATGCAAAAAACTGGGCCGTGCCGGCCTGCCAGTTGGCCTTCCTCGGTTCAGGGGGTCAGGGCCAAAACCCGCTCCAACCCCAAACCACATTTTTGCACATAAGTTTACACAGATGTGCATATGTATACTTGTCCATGCAGACGGAACGTGCAATACAGCCGACCAACAGAAAAGCCATCAGTTGCCATCTACTATACCCCCCATTTGGAACCACATACCCCGATTTGAGGGTACAAGGAGGGTCCTTTTTAACAAGGCTGCCAGGCTTCTGTGCTTGGCGCCTCCCGAAGCCGTCCTTGAAATCCGGGATGTCGTCCTCCGGCTTAGGGTTTCGACTCTCACACTCGCACGCGGCAGGCTCCACACGGTTTGGGGATCATAAGAGTTCAAGGCTGGGGTTTTTGGGCTTCTGACCCGCATTGTTATTAGGGTAGGCTACAACCCGATGCTCGCGGTGCCCGTAAACGCAGGTAGACACTTACTCATGTGGGGGTTTCCGAAAATAGGGGACCCTAATATAATACCCTAAATAGTAGGATCCTTATTATAAGGACCCCAGAATAAGGTACCCCCTAATTTTTCGGAAACCCCCATGTGTGCCCTCGTCCCATGGCCAATTTGGCTCGCAGGAGCCGCGTGCATTGTAGCAAAGCATAGTCGGAAGGGTCTCTCAGGCTCTCCATCCTTCTACATTCGACGCCACAAAACCCATTTTATTGAACCCAGACTCTGCCAATCAGCTGGGAGGCAGCACTTCCAGATTATTGCATCTGGGAAGTAGCGCCGCCAAACCCAAACCGCCACAAAACCCATGAACCCTTAACCCTAACTGATCCATCAGTGATCCATCTTTAATTGTCCGTTGAAACTCTAAGGGCATGAGGCCTCGTCGTCGTCACTGCTCTGCAGGAATCTCTCAATTCGACAGGAGCTGTGCTCTGCGCCCTGGCCCATGTAGCCTCAAAATCAGCTCCAGACGATTCAGCTTTGTGGGCTCCGAGTCTGGGATTTTCCGAGAAATATGGCCCAGCAGGACCAATGCATCCTGACTGTGTCTCTTGTTCGTGCACTCTTGGGGTAGCGTCTGCAACTCGTCTTTTTTGTTGCAGCAAGGGTGACATGACTAGTTCGACCAAAAGTACTGCAAGTAGTGCTAGCACTTGCCGAAGTATTCGTCGTCATCGTCTGTCCCCGTTGACCCATTGAAAACGGCAGCACCCGTAACAGCACTCACACGATGAGCTAGGCTCTCGGGTTCAAGTTGCAGCCGATGCGCCGTGGGGCAGCAGCATCACGAGGCCAGTTTGCTGAAGCCACTTGTGCTCCTCGGGGTGGTGTCTTAGCGCTTTGGGGCTTAGGGTAGGGTGGGGTGGCATTGATCTCTGTATGCTGTAGTTGCAAATGCTAGTGTGCCTTCCTGGAAAAGCGGCTACACTCTTGGCCACGACTACAATTACTTTCACCGATTCTGCTGCTACTCGCTTCATGAGCGAAATTGACTGAGATCAACTGTCGCAGCATTGCTTGTTCGCTCGCGAATTCTTGTACGGATGCCGATCATGCTGTTGCGGCTGCTGCTGCGGCACTCCCTGTCCTTCAATTGCAATGTGCGATGTCATTGTGGAGTCTTGCTGCGCCGGGTTGAAATAAGGCTGGAGGATGACGATCAACCAGTTCTCACATTTGGGGGTTTGGGTTTCCGACATGTAGCAAACCCTTCCCCCTGAGTCCGTGCTATCAACATCCTACTACTCAGAGATTGCAGTGGACGTTTCTGATTTGCGTGGACCAAGGCAACTCTGCTGCGACAAACGGCTTGAGACCTTCGGATGTGCTGGCTGAGGATACCTAGGAAGAAATCTGTGAAGGGCCCCCAGCTTCCAAACCAAACGTGCAAGGACATGCGCCTCCGGCATGGAGATTGGAATGCATCGATCCTATCGAGCCTACCAGCCAAGAGTCTCCAGCAGAGATGAACTGATCCGTCATCACCTGTTGCAACGTTGCAGCGGGGCTGATTCGACGGGGGTTCCTTGGCTTGCTACTCTCTTATCCCCCCAACTTACTAGTTGAAGCATGTTCACGACGAGTGATAACCCACCCCAGTAATCGAACTCCCCACGTTCCCATGGGGACACCAAAACAAAACGACCTGTGCTCATTCCCACCTCATAGGCTCAGTGCCATGAAAACCTTCCCAGCTTGAGCCTCGAGTCTCTCCAAGCCCGGAAGACTCCGATAAGGGAGTTTCTGAAAATAAGGGGTACCTTATTTGGGGGGCCTTATAATAAGGATCCTACTATTTCGACTCTCACACTCGCACAAGGCCGGCAAGGCTCCGCATAGTTCGATCCTACTATTTAGGGTACTATATTAGGGCCCCTTATTTTCGGAAACCCCCATATCATGGCAACACTAGCTGTTCGGCCTCTCAGGGCGGGTTACAAACCGGGTTTCAGAATCCACATAACAGATGTCCGTGACCAAGACGACTATGATCACGACACCGACAGCAATGACGATGATTCTGGTGAGGAGATCATAGTGACGATGATGGGGGGCGGTGGTGGGCATGAGGACCGATGCTGCCTGACGACAACAATTCTGATGCTGCCGTGATACTGGTGAAGACAGGGCTGCTGTTGGTGGTTGTGGGGCTGCCGGTGGGCAACATACCAATAATTTTCTAGTGGCTTGGAGCTCTTCTGGCCATCACGAGTATCGAGCACAGTGGTGCTCTGCCGGCACCTGAGCCGTGTTTGCGAAGTCGCCAAACTGGGCCTGCATGCGCCAATGCAGGATGCAGCTTCGCAGCAAGGGCCCTTGTTCAAATTAATCTCTCGGTTTTGGTGTTTAGGATGCAAACACCCAAGGCACTAGGATTAAGGATAGGGCTTCGTCGTATGAACCCTTCAAGGGTCTTATAGAAGCCTACAAGTTTCCGTGAGAGTACCTCTGCGAGGTCCAAGAAGTGCATCCAAACCGGATGCAATCCCGTACCCGGCGCCCCCGGCGTGTTGAAGAACTTCTTACAAGTTGAAATCGGGCATAGGTCTACTCGTCTACGGGGAAGAAAGCCGAGTATCTTCGACTTCGTTAAGAAAGTCATCTCTGCGGATATTGCAGTCCTGGAGGTCTTGATTCATGCCCTGCAGGTCCCGAAGCACTTTTGCATCGCCAGTGGCCTATTCGCTTCAATGCTAAATGGCCGGGTTGTTGCTAAAGGCCGCCTCCCAAACCACCAGCGCAGTCGGATTTTCGTAGCCTGAGCAGAGCGGAACAGCGTGTGTCTCATCCCAGACAAGAGAAGGTACCTTGAAGCACGGAGCTCGCAGCCTCTGCGAAAGCTATAGTGATAATTTGCTCTTGCAGCCGTTCCTCCGAGTACGAAGAAACGTATTCATCAAGTCCTCTGATCCTGCAAGCATAAGCATCCTGGAATCTGGCCGGGTAGCTGTAGCCAAGCTCGAACCCCACCACCCCGTACTCTGCGAGGATGGAGTTCCGAGCGATGAAAGTCTCCTGCGGTGCTTTCTTGCTGTTCACCCCCTGTGGGCTCTCCGGGCCCCCCCTCCCACTCAACAATCATCCTTCTACCTACGAGACACACACCACATGCTCAAGAACCCATACCACTGCCCTCTCATCTCAAGGCCCGTCTTTATAGGGTTAGAGTTTAAAGGGGTATCGATATCCCGTATACGAGGTTCTCGAAAGCTCGGTAAGCCTCGACGCCTAGACCCATGCCTTAGAGACCTGCCCAAACCCATGAGTTCGGTAAAAGGAACCCTTTCAAAATGAATACCAAGCCCTCGAATCAAGCATTGCGAAGTGTGCGAGTCACACTGCGAGTGTGAGCCTCGAACCCAAACAATGACTGACTGGGCAACACGACCCGAAGTGACCGAATACTAGATTCTCTGCAACCTTCATTAAACCTTCTTCTGTTTGCAACTTCTGTATGTTGGAGCACTGCCATGGCCACCGTTTCGTTCTAATTGCTTCGGCTCCCAATATGGCTATCGGAGTTTCAGAAAAGAAGGGATACCAGTACCGACACGGCCAAAACAAAGAAGCTCCGCCCACACACCACAAGAAAGTCACCATCAGCTGATACGCCACAGACCATCGCCCCTCAGACGAGACCATGCCTACAAACCTTGACGAACCTAGAAAAATTCCCAGGCCCTAGAAGCCCTGCCTACATCCTCGCCGTCCCACAACGCCCCAATCCGCTGATTCAATACCCCCCCGGCCCTGAAGTCCTAAAGCCCTTCAGGGTTTAGGGCTTAGAGGTTTATAGAGGTTTAGGGTTAGAGGTTTTTTTGGCCAAAAGTTTAGGGTTTAGGGGTTTCGGGTTAGAAGTTTAGGGGTTTAGGGAGTTAGGACCCCGAAACCCCCCCAAAACAAGCGGCTCCTGGGGGCCTAAGTTCAGGTTGTTCAGGAAGCCTCGGCGCAAGAAGCTGTGGATCTTTGGAGTATATCAGTATATCTACGCTGCTTTAGGGTTTAAGGTTTATATAGGTTGATATCTAAACTGCTGTAGTTCAGGGTTTTTGTCGGTGCGATAGTCAAAGCAATTTCAACTCCTGCCTGTTTTGTTTCTCGCAAAAGCCTTTTCACAAGTACTCGCGGATCGAACATGGAGGTCATGGAGCAAGGTCACGTCGAACCAGCTCTACCGCAGGTTAGACCTTGCTGTGGGTTCTACCTTATCTGCCTGAGCAGATGTCTGAAGGCACTGAAGGCCAATGCCGCAGAGATTCAATAGTCGGCCCCCGTCTGTTGGTCCTTGATGACCTTAGCATGTGTGCTTTAGACAAGGTATGGGAGACAGAGGGACAGACAGAGAGAGACGTTGCGTGTTTGTTTGTCTCTGTGTGCGAAAGAGGCCTGAAGGCTCCAGAAGGCTCCAAAGGTTACATGTGCTGCAGACAAAGCCTTGCAGCTAAACTCCTGGGCATCTTGCAAACTCCGACCTTGATTAGTGTTTATCGTTGGTACTGCCTTCCTGGCAAAGGTCTGTGCGGATGTTAACTTTCGGCGCACGGATTTGTTGACCGACGGTGCACGCGAATTTGTGCCAGGATTTTTGCGCAGCTCTTGTAACGGAGATAGAAACTTGAACAAGCCCGCGGGGTAAATCTGCGATAAACTTCGCCAGCGAACCCTAACAGTTGAGCCTACAACATCCAGAGCCGACTGGGCACCGGACGCAATGACGGTGGGCAAAAGTGCCTCGCTGCACATCCTGCCCAGTGATACCTTGGAAACACCAAGAACCCCGTGACAAATCCCGCCCCGAAGCTTGAAACGAACGAAGCTTGTGTCCGTTCCCAAGTCCTTAAGTTCTTACGGCAGAAACTGGTCCTGTGCCCCTTTTAGGAGAGGTGCTCCTGCAGATGTGCTAATTATATGGTTTAGGGTTTAGGGCTTAGGGTTATTTGGGTCTACCAAAATCCCCGACTCTCCGCCAAGATCTGCGAAGACTGAGCTCTGGTTCGACTAAACCACAAGACAAACCCAAAGCACACTGTGATCACAGATTTCCCGGAGGCTTCAAAAATCGTATGCCTTGCTAGGCTTCAAGCAGGTACGGCAACTATCTCCCGACATACAGCTGCCTTGTGACCTGTTCCTTGCGAACTCACACCCCAGGGTTTGAAGTAACAGCAACCTCAAAACAGTAAAGAAGTCACCAAACCTTACCTTACGAACTTCAATATGCTAGAATAGACGCCCCAGGCCTCGAACCCTCCACCTTCCCTCAATGCTGATGCCCTCCAAAAAAGGACCCTCACTACACGAAACTTGCAGCGGAAAATCGATCCCGTCTCTCCCAGTTCGCATGGGAAGGTTTCGGTGGGCTGAGATTCAGCGTTTGGAGCTTTCATGGATTATTTTCGAGGTTGAGCGAAGGGTTCGGGCCGACATCTTGACTGCCGGGAATCGACGTGCGACGATTATCGCGATGCCTTCCAAGCTCTTTGATATCTCCCGGAAACATGGTGCCCAAGAATTCCGTGAACTTCTCTGGTCTGGACCCTGGGCAAGGGGGCTAAGATACTCGAGACGCCCCCCAGAATACCGGGCCTCCCAAAACAACAAACTCTCTAGTTCTCCAAGAGCAAAGATTGAAGCTCCTCAGACCCTATTTTTTGAGGGTTTCAGATTCCAGGGATTCGATGGGATTTCGGCCCAACCCGGAGGGAATCTCTTTTTGACTCCATTGGTCCAAGCTTGTTGCGGCTCAGGACGACCTGGCGAGCCGCAAGTAGTTCACACCCTACACAACGCAGACATCCGCCTAAATCCTGTATCTGTGGAAGAACGTGCCGCTTCGTAAATGTATGACCAATGGCATAGCACAGCATACAAGCTACACACCCGCAACTACACGCTACATGCGATAAGCAAGCGTGGAGTCAAAGACACATGGGGCCACAAACCCAGAATTGGTCTTGAAACATGTGGCAACTTTGAAGCCCAAGCATACACTGCTACTCGAACCAAGGCTCTTCGGTGCGTTGTCGTTGGGAATTGAAACGTAAGTCTAGCTCAAAAAGGTTTGCACCCGCCTCCCGCGTCCATCCCGAATGCTTAGGCAGCTTGCTCCCGAATTCTTGTCAACCCCTCAAAACCCCAAAAATCCAAACTGACTACAGCCCGCAAAGTAGGCCGAAGCCCATGGAATCCCTACTGGGGGATTACAGACGGGACCTGATCAAATTCAACCCTGCCTTTGCTTCGGCCGCCAGCTGCGGCATCTCGGCCGCTGCCACCTTCCGGGCTCGCATCTAAATCCCAAAGGCTCTAAGTACCCATATAGTAGGTAATTTGGGCCCCAAAGTATCTACCATATTAGTACTTAGACCCTTTGGGAATGTTAGGGTTTGGGGTTTAGGGACTGGCTTCTTATTGACATGTGTGCGTTGCTCCGGCAGTCTCACACCATATTGATGCGCTTGCTGGGCGTCTGAAGCCTTGCTAGCTTGACTGGGCTTGGCAGCCGAGTAGAGGCTGTGACTTCAATACGATTCCGTGCAAGACATGCTTGCCTTGCGCTCAAGTGCAGATATGAGAGTCGTAGATCAAGGTGGGCATGGCTATGGCTGTCGTTGTATCACCATCACGGTTTGACAAACAGCGATGTCCAGCATAGTCTGCTTAACAGGAAGGAGTGGAAGGATTGCTAGCTCACAACTACGTTTCAGAATCCCACTCAATGTAGAAAAACCGAGCAGCTGCAATACTTGGCCATAGAATAGAATTTCGGTGTGCAATAAGTCTTTGGATATAACAAGGAACCCTATAAGGAATAGCATTAAACTACTAGTTTTTCAGGCCCCTAATTGTGAAACCCTGTAGTGCCCCTCACAAAAACCCTTCTTGTAATGATGTAATGTTTACCAAAGCCTATACGCAGGACGCTCCAGATCTATAAAACCGACTAAAACCCTATCCTTTTCTTACACAGGCTTGATGGGAGCTCGCCCGGCCAATGTCCCCCGTAGCACATCGCAGGTTTTATCCTAAACCCTAAACCCTTTCTAGTAACTTCATTCCCGGCCTGGCCGCCCCAAGGTCCCACCACACGTGGGCGGAGGCACGCCGAACGCTGATTCAGCTCTGCAAGCTCCTCAAAACATTCGACACTTCCTGTACGTATCTCTATATAGTTATGGTAATTTTCCACCAACGTTTGCATATATATATATATATATATACACTGTAAAATAAATAAACAGACAAATAACTAAATTCAATACATACATACATAAATAAATAAATAAATGTATATATATATATATATACATGTATTATGTATTATGTATATAGGAATCCGAGTAAGTACACAGAAGAAGTAAAAAGGCAAGCTGCGTGCACATCATCCTTCACTCTCGCGCAGGCCCACTATGTATGTATGAGCATACAGACTTGTAGCAAGGGCGCGAATCTTCAACTCGCACGGTTTACACTCTCACCCCGGACTCTTCCCGGCGATATGTTGTCGGCCACATGCAACTCATGTTTGTCCACTCCTTCGCAAGCTCACAAGGGCGACGACGATTCGGATACGTCATTCAAGGCAGTGTGCCAAAACCAAAACGATGTCAGCTTCTGACGGACCGTTTTGCCCGTGACTATCCAGCAAGAGCCTATCTGACTGGGACGAATTTTTAAGAAACATACATGGAAGGGAAACATACCATTCAGGCGCAAGCCGATCAGCATGAGCATGTAGTGCAGCGAACGGACTACATGGTTCAGCCACTTTCCGTCGAGGTATCCACCGTAACCCGCCCTGGGCCCACAAGTCGTGGCTATATCATAGATACTGCCACGACTTGTGGGACCGGAGCGGGCTTTGAACTTGCCAAGTCCAGGCCAATTTGGGGGAAGCTGCCCATGGTCTGCAAAAGGGCAGTACCCTATGAGAAGGCATGCTGCGAGGTTGATGCCAACTTCACGGGCGATCGAAGATGCCTTCGACAATGACTCCAAGCGAGTAAAAGTCTGATCCGGCTGGAGTGGACTTGATCAATGCCGCGGCAATGTCGGCTTATGTTGGAAAGGCTGTTGTCAGGCTCCTTCTCCTGGGCAGACTCTTGCTGATGTTGGCGATGTTGGACCAAGAAGCATGGCAGGAGGAAGTTAACATGACCGCCCATGGTTCGAGGAACGGGCTCACCAAGCCTGGCACATGTTGTCGACTGTAACAGCCCACTGCCAGCTCTCCATGTATGCCGCAGGGAAATGGTGAGGCAGGATACTGTAAGTTTACATTGACATGATGGAAGACTAAGGGCAAGCAGATTCAAGCATAGTACTTGAGCTACAACGAAGCCTGAGCCGAGGGGTACGGCTGAGGGCGTGAAGACCAACGTGAAGGCTGCGGGCTTTGCGGGCCTTTTCAATGTTTCGGAGAAGTATGGAACTGATTCTAAACTTTTAACATCGATTGACTAAGCAAAGGCTTGTATTTCATGCTTGCGACTTGAAGTGTCATAACCCTCAACACTGGGCTGCGGCCGTAGGGTTCTGTCTACTTCGGCAATCCTGTATCTGCTTTTGTTTGTGTGCCCCATGTGGGAGTTTCCGAAAATAGGGGACCCTAATATAGTACCCTAAATAGTAGGATCCTTATTATAAGGACCCCAAAATAAGGTACCCTAATTTTCGGAGTTTTGTCTTCCAAGACCGTCTCAGGGGCCAAACCATACAAACACCCGAACAACCTCCCCCTTCAATAATTAGGGTTCCGGGTTCCTTGTTGTAATTATAGTACAATATACCCCCAAGCCCTATTCTAATATTTAAGGCGCCAATATTATGCACTCAGCCCGCACCTCAGGAATCTGGAGGTCTTCCGGCGCCCGTCGCCCAGTGCTCACGGCCACAGAAACCCAGTCCTCCTTGTCGCAAGCAGTTTAGAACGTCAGCTTAAGGGCTTGAGGTTTGAATTGCCCACCAGTGGTGGTGGTGGTGGTGGTGGTGGTAGCCAGTAATGATCGATGCGCCGATGTTCTTTTGATCGTCGTGCTTTCGTGTCCAAGGCATTTTGGTATCAAGGCTTGTGGCTCTGCCAAAATTTCCGTATAAGTTTCTTGCAAACTCGATCCGCCAGAATTTTGAAGGCAGGGGCTTGGAAAGTTGGGAAACGATCTACCAGGCTGCTACAACAGAACCGGGATCACGACCACAAAAGCCAAAAACCCAGTACAACCTCTGCAAACCTGAATACTGAGGGTGGGTCAAAGCCGAAAGGGTCGAGGATTAAGGACCTGTAGCGATTCTGAAGAAAACGGTCGCTGGTTCTGCAATGGGAGCATTGGTGGTGCCAAACGGCGGAGTCTGGGGCAGGACTCAAGAGGCCTGTATCCTAACAAATTTAGACGAAGCCAGCCTGAGATTGCAGCACAAGGGACAGCCTGGACGCTAAACTATGCACACCCTAAAACATCGATCCAAGAATCCAGCAAAGAGGATCCCTACATGCTCGGAACGACCAAAGTCGTACGTACAGGATCCTTGAGTCTGGTTTGGGGGGTTAGCCTTCAGGATCCCGAATCGCTCCCCAGGCGCTTCCGAATTGCTTTTCAGGCGCATTTCTAGGTCTGAGAAATGGGGGTTTCCGAAAATAGGGGACCCTAATATAGTACCCTAAATAGTAGGATCCTTATTATAAGGACCCCAAGAATAGGGGACCCTAATATAGTACCCTAAATAGTAGGATCCTTATTATAAGGACCCCAAAATACGGGACCCCTTATTTTCGGAAACTCCCAAAATGATGGGGACGGAGAAGATTCTTCGACTCTGGATCTTCAAGCCGCTGGTTTAAGGTTTAGGGGTTTAGGGTTTAGGGTTTAGGGTTTAGGGTTTAGGGTTTAGGGTTTAGGGTTTAGGGGGAATGTCCAGACTGACCGCACTCGGAGACCGAGGTTGGGGACTTCGGTCCGGTTTGGGTGCCTACCTCATGGGATTCAGGTGCAATGGCATGCAACGAAAAGGTGATATGGGTAGTTTGCAAAATTCGGGTCCCTTTTAGGGTCCTTTTTATAAGGGTGCCGTACTATACTGGGAACCTAAAAGGGACCCTAATTTAGAGAATTACCCATATCGAGAAGCTCTAGATCCGTAACGTTGCGACTACTGCTCTATCCTGTGCTGATGCACTTCGCTTGCCTTTCATCACGGAAGACCTGGGACCCACGTGGAATCCAGGCCGGCCACAAATAAAGGCTGACAGGGTTCAAGACTTGAGAGGTGCAGGGATCCAGGCAGAGCACCCAAACGAACTAGGAATGCTTATCTTGAAAACTCAGAGCCGTTAGAGACCATGCCTGTGCCGTCCGGCACATTGCAAAGCAGGCTCCTCGGGCCAGAAACAGCAAATTGATCCGTGCTCCTTCCTGCGCCATCTCTGCACGACGTCTTGACTACACGCTCGCGAACTGAGGCGATCTGACATCCGTGTCAAATAGTGTTTTTTGCTACGGTGGGCGCTGGCGCAGGGTGCATGCATGCGATTTCGATGCAGCTTCCACAACTGGGGCTAGGGCCACTCACAACCACATTGACACCACGTCTTGCGATGTGCGGCCATTGCACATCGCATGGTGCAAATCCGCTGCCAAGCATCCGTACATCTTTGCGTGGCAAGCGCTGTCTGACTTGCAGCGTCGAAGCAGAAGATGCCCAGCCGCTCCACGTGCCTCCCCTCTCGAGAGGAAGTCAAGCAACATTGGCAAGCACTGGCCTGTGTCAAACCCGCTGCCGCGCCTGGCCAGTGGCAGCAGCTCCACTGACTGTGAATAGCAGCCGAAGCGTGGATAAGAAACACGCCACCGCTCCGGTTACACCGCACCAAGCAGCCCATGGTGGGTAGTTGCCGAACACTGCAAACACCAGGGCAACAAGAGCACAGAAGGTGCCAGTGGTTGCCAAGAAAGCTGCGAAAGCCATGTACACATCAGGCTGCGCATCCAGCATGGCACGACAGTGCAACCGATCTAAGTCTGCTATACAAGTCCCTTTTGTCGACCCCAGGTGCCTTATCAACGTCTCATCAGAGCTTCGCTTTCGGCCCTGGAGTATTGCAGACTACGAAATCAGTCGGGTGAATCAGAATCGAAACTCCACTCAGCCGCATGTCCCAACACCTGAGCCTATAAAACCGAACGACCCCCTTTAAAAAGCAGGCAACGCGGGGGTCTGAAGCAAAAGAAACGGCAGCGAGGAGACACACATCACCAGCATGCAGCCAAACCCTACATCTGCAACAATACAAGTGAGCCCTGAAACCCGAAGGGCCACATGAACGTCGCCTAAAACCTGGTGGCCCAAGCAGTTCAGGAGTCACGGTTGGAAGGTCATGGAAGATCGGATGAGGCTGTAACTCCGGGAAGCCCGTCTAATCCAGAATGCAGGCCAACCGTTCTCAGTCACTAGCTTCAGGGACACGCGCTTGCTTATACCGTGGTCTTGGAGCCATGCTTTGCGACGGTCCTGCGAGCGGTCTGCTACCTCCGTCACCGACACTACCTGGCGGGCCCCACAGTGAGATGAACACCAGGCTATCTGCAAGGAGACATCGCACAGGAGGCAAGGACGACTCGGCCAAAAACACACATGGGGGTTTCCGAAAATTAGGGTACCTTATTTTGGGGTCCTTATGATAAGGATCCTATTGTTTAGGGTACTATATTAGGGTCCCCTATTTTCGGAAACTCCCACATTTCGGCTACATCAAAGCCCTGGCATAGGACTTGGCGGCAAGCCGACCTCCAAAATGCCAGAATAAACCCTGACCCTCCAGGTACCTACTATCTAGGGGTTCAGGGGGCTCTAGCACCCTATATAGTAGGTACTTGGGGGGTTAGGGAAAGCTAGAAGAGTGGAAGATTACACAACAAGCTTCATCCTGCTAAGCACCTCAAGGCTTCTTCTCTACTTCCTATAGTCTCCATTGTAGTTCTTTTTTCGGTTTAACCAATTATATATATATATATATATATATACATATATATATATATATATATATGTTAAGGATGTTATAAGGTATCCCCCAAAAGGAACTACAATGGAGACTACAGGTTGTACCCGATCCAGCAGCCTGCGACGTGTAGCACAAGGCCGCACCATCGGTGCCTGGAGCTGGTCTTCTAGAGATTCTCCTGATTAGTCTGGAAAGCATCTTTTAGGGGCTTTATAAGTAAAGTTATAAATAAATAAGTAAATACATGTATATATATATGTATATATATATATACATATAGGTATACATATGTATATATATATATACATGGGCAACTTCAGATTCGTTGGATGCCGTTTGACGGTGCCTAGTACTTAGGTCTTTAGTAGGTCTGAGGACGAAGAAGTCGAATCGTCCGACCAGCTACACGATCTGCAGCATGCGGTTCCATTAACCACGAAGACTCCGGATGTATACAAGTGTGTATACATTCACACGTACACAACTTTGCTACATTGGATGTGCATGCACCTCGCCCTCGATTGTCTTTGTGTATTATGTATTTCATGTGATAAATATAGTAGTACGAGTATCATCGTCATAGTCTTGATCGGTATGAGAGTGAGGCTACTAGAATTAACAATGCGTCACATGCAAGAGTCGACAAATGCTTTTAATATAAACAAGTAACCTTAGTATTAGTACAAGCAATGAAGATAAGCATAGCAATACGAATAAATAATAACGAACAGGCATACTGTACTACAACGACCATAGTGAAAATTCTAAAATACTCATCATTTTCACTAACAAATACTAAGACTGCGATAAATCTTGGAGCATCCAAACTGCTTCGGAAAGGGACTGGCCTTCGATCTTGCTGGCTGCATGCGCAGAGGTCCTCTGCGAGCTCAGCGGCAAGAGGGATGGCTTACAAACATCTCTCGAAGTCTACATTGCAAGCCGCTGCCGCCTCCACAGGTAGTTCGCAGCAGCTGTGGAGAGCACATTGTCGGCAACAATAATGCCACCATGTTCCTGGGTTGTGAGCCGCCGGGCAGGGGCAAGGTGAGCAGTTCAAGCAGCAAGCTACAGGCAAATATGCAGACACCTCGAGAAAGATCATGTATCCGATGTCCCTTCGATGTTGCCTCATTCTGAGTCCTGAAGCACCCTATCAGCTATTCGCCGTGGCCAATGCTGAGGCAGCCTAAAGTGGCTTCTCTGAAACGACTAATCTTACAAAGGGCCTTGAAAACTATAAAAATACATATAATCAAAGCAAGGAACCTTGTAGGAATCACAATAGTGATTATGTAAAGCCCCGGTCTTTGAGGATTTGTATCAGTCCCAGCTGCGGCCATCAGCTGGTGCTTTTCTACCATGTCGAGGTCTTCGTCCTTGTGGATGCACAGGCGTGTTTTGGGTTTTTCCATTCTGCTTAGGGTTTTTTTGCCTCCTACTTGGCATTTAAAGTTTAGGGTTTGGGTTCCAGCGTTTTTTGCTTTTCCGTCCTTTTTTTTCCCCACCCGCTTCGCTGACTAGGTCGCACTCCAGGGAAACTGCACTCCAAGACAAGAGGACGTGTGCAAGTCTCAGGCTTGTCAACTTCCTCGTTAGAGCACCGAATAGGCTAGAGTAGAGGACGATTCTACTTAGGGTTTACGCTATCGCAACTCGGACTCCGCCAGACGAGGTCTCTTGTGTCCAACTAGATACGTCAACTACAAAGTCTAGCGCGCAATCACTGTTTAGGGTTTAGGGCTTATAGGTTCTAGGAAAAAATGCCTCCTACATCCTCCTACAGATGTTGTTGCCGTGGCGAAACTCGACGGCAGGGAGAACGAAGGGTACGGAGAAGGGTGAGAAGATCTTAGACTCTACCAACAACTGCCTTTGTACTTCTCTTCTGAAAGATACAAGCCGACCTTTCAGTTCATGCTCACTACAACGGCCGGATATCCGGGCGGCAATTTCAACACTTTAAGGAACAGTGCTTCCTCCAACCTCGCCCATGCCTACGAGGTTGTAGAGGATGATAATTAAGGGATTTGGGTCAGAAGAAGGTGGACTTCCACCTCCGGGTTGCCACCGAGTCGCATACTCGGTGCCCCAGCGGTCTATCAGCAGCGCTCCAAACCGCAACGACCTCGGAAGAGCAGAGATGGAATGCACCCTGGGCTTCAGAGCCGGGAAAAGTAGGGTTCCGGCGCTCACACTCGGACAATCCAGGCCTCGTTTAGGGTTCAGGGTATTATGCGACTGATTTAAAGAGTCTGCATGTAACCCATTAGGCCATTATTCCTCTCAATAACTGGACTTTTTGCTGCAACCCGATGTCGAGTTCTAGGGACTTGCGGACTTGCAGCAAGAAGCCTATACTGCAACAACTGTTGTGCCAATCATTCTCAATCCTATGGCTCATGAAGCAGTTCTGATTACTATGAATGCAGCTACGATGTCTCCTGTTGTCATATTGCCTCTTGTGCAGCAGTGGTTGCTAGCAGATCCGTGATACGATTGAGCCTGGTTGCTCCGGATCTGCAGAGCCGTGCTGCAGCCGCACTTTCAGAGTGGGCAGGAGCAGACGACTGTGGCCTGTCCACACCTTCACCTGGTCAAATGGGGTTTAGGGATTCGGGGTTCAGGGCTTTGGGGATTTGGAGTTGAAGATGATGAGCTGAGGGTTTGGGGTCCCGATCTTGAACGTGGAAGAGACATATCCTTGAAGTCTTGCTATGGATCTTGAACCCTTGACTGACCACAAAGATCATTGTGATAGGACAATCCTGGTCCTTCAGCTATGAATCGAATTTCGAAATCCAAAAACATACATCCTGAAAAACATACCCTTCAAATTTAGGCCCCGGTCACCTGGTCGTTCAGCCCTGCAAAGCCGAGGAGGCACCTCTCCACGACACGAGCTTGCTTGCCAACACTGTTACGTAAGAACTTAAGTCCATTTCATCGCCTTGCTCGCTCTCTCTCTCTCTCTCTCTTCTTCTCTCTCTCTCTCTCTCTCTCTCTCTCTCTCTGTCTCACTCTGTCCGAATACATATGTCTGTCTTTCGGTGCATGCTAAACGCAGAAAAACTTATGTACACAAATGCGTGATCGTGTGTGCATTTATTCTCTGTGTGTGTGCATACATACCTATATTAAATGCGTATATATATATATATATACACACATGCCTCAAAAATCCCCACTTGCACTCCATGGAAGCGTGACATCAAGAAAGCATGTTGTGGAACGAAACAGTGCTCACTGGCCTGGCTATGGCCACGTACACCGGGTCAAGTTCCTGGGCTCTGCAAGCTGGTTTGGAGGATTCCGTTCAACTGATTGTTTCCTGAAGTCTCATTAACCTAACAGGCTGCTGGTTGATTGCGCTGCTTGCGAACATCGCCCACATATGCCACCGGGATGCCCCAACACCACCCCGCTCCCCTCCATGCCACATCCAACCTCTGCGGAAACAACTACACTGCCCGATTCATGGAGGTGCTCCAACATGTTCGTCGCCGGACCTGTTCCTTTTCACATGCTCGTTTTCGAGGGGCGGGTTGGCTTATTCGCGGGGCAGGGTTTGGACATGTCACCACAGTTCTTGCAGATGGACTGGGATTCTGTCTGCTGCTCGACAGAAGGAGGCACACGACAGACGGATCGCAGATGTGAATGTCGGAACGCCTAGTCGTCAGCGTAACAGCGACATGGACAATGTGATCGCAACTACTAGTCGCTGTTGTGAATAATCCACACATTCCAATAATACGACTACTACTAACAGTAGTACTAACAAGCATCAATCATCATCATCATCATCATCATCCCTAGTCCTGGTCGTGCCGAACCAGGCTTTTCGATTGCGTGTGGCCCATGCCTCAGGCAAGCCCAAGCCTTCCCGCCTTGATCCTCAAGCGTCCATCAACTCAACGCCTCGTAGCTTATGCCCCAAACCTTCAACCAGTCATCGCCGTCGTCGCCGAAGCTCCAAGGATGTCAAGAGAACACCTGGCAGCGCAGAGGCCATTCGAAGAGCCGAATTTCCACAGTAAGTGCCGATCTCGAGGATGCCCAGATTCCTGCATATCCGGCCAGCCGGGAGAGTCAAGCAAATGTATTTCGGCTCGGAGGGGAGGGGCCGCGGGAGTTCAGTGCTGTAGGCTTAGGCCCAGGTTCCAAAACCTTGGTATCTTATGAGGTGGAGAGCCCCTCTGCTCTCGCAGAGATCCGCAGAGTGCCCGAAGATGTCAACCAGCTCTGCATTCTTCACAGATATGCTTCTTTCCTTCCCCCACTTCCGAGAGCCCCAATCGGGATGCGTGATCTAGGAATCTAGGGTTCGGCTCCTCACACTTGGGATAGCTCCTGACACTTACAGTTCCTGAGACTCCATGGCTGTTAAACTTAGGGGGTCTGCCACCATACTTGGAGGTTCAGGGCGTAGTTATAAGTGGGGTTACAAGTCCGCAAATATGGGTTATAAGTATAGTTACCCTACTTATAGCCCCATTTATAACTACCCTTGAACCTCCAAGTATAGGGGAGCTCAGAACCTGTAAAGAGCACCACTATGCTTGCTTCACGGTTTCCAACTTCCTGGAGCCGATCCCGTCATCACAATGCTGATAGACATCTAACTTAACCTGGGCATAATCCCCCAGTCTGGCAGTTGAGGTTTAGGATTTAGGGTTTAGGGTTTTTACCACCACCCTTCTTAACAGCCGCGCCCGACACCTCAAAAAAGCGGGGGGCCTTTGCCTTGACCCAGTATGGAAGGGCAGGGCGCCACCTCGGTCAATTCCACCGTACGCCGTCTTGTGAGCATTTTCCTCGCCATTCTTCTGCTTCCAACTGGCATCGCTGTATGATCTCGATTCTCCAGAAATTCTAGGCTCTGACGCATTAGGCTTGCCTTCTTGTTGGGCCAATCGCCCGGGACTTCCTAAGTCCTAGACCTTCGCGTGCGGCCGATGTCGGCGCGAACCAAAACCTAGCTTCCACGCAGATCCTCCCAAAGCCATTCGAACACCCAGGGTTTGAGAAGCTTCCTGCAAGCTTCTCCGCCATTGAAAGGCAACCCCAAGGACCAAACAACCCTAAACTCCAGATGCCTAGAGCCCCAAACTGGAACCCTAAACCCTCGCGACCCTAAACCCTAATCCCCTATATATATATATATATATATATATATATTCATTCCCTCGTACAGAAAGACTGAAAGCCCAAGAGGCGCACAGCTGCCACAATCGCCTCGCCCTTGCTCCCCCCGGCGAACTTCGCCCACTCCAGCTCCTGCCCAAAAGGTTTCGGTGCCCTGCCCTTGGCCTAGTCTTTACAAAGTCGAGTCGAGTTGTAGCTCATTGCAGATGCACCCCTGTTTGAACGAATGCCGTCTTCAGCACAACGCCCTGGAAGTCCCAAAAGCATCTATCTAAAGAGTCATAAACATTCGGCCAGACCTTCAAGAACTGAACCACAAAAGCCCTGAGCCCTTGATCTCCCAACTGAAACGTCGCTTCAGTTCAGGAGCCCAAGTCACCCAAGTCAGCACCGCCTCTGTGAGTTGCGGAGTCGTGAACCAGACCTCCCAAACCCCTAGATCCTCAGCCCGCAAAACACTACAGCCCCAACCCCTGAACTTTCTAATGTAGGGACCACAACACTTAGAATAGCGTTTTGGGAGATATGGTACTATGACTATGATCAGGAGCCCCCAAAAGAGTATTGGTACTTTTATTTTATTTTTTTTAAAATGCAGTAGCCCTTTCTCCCGCACGAGGTCCAAGGCTCGCTCAGTTCGAGCGTGCACTCAAAACAAAACACCCTCAGCACCACCTTGATGCACGTCACTTCTCAGCTCATGCCATCACGACTCCGACTCCTCTCCCGTTCAGTGCGACCAGCTTCACGACCACTTTCCACATGACGACCAGCATCATCTATACTCGGTAATTTTATTTAGGCCCCTACATTAGTCCTAGAAGTTGCGAAATCCTCACCGAAGTCGTTCAGAGCCCCGAGGATGGACGACACGTCCCCGGGAAGTGCCTGCGAAAACACTATCGGCTGGCTTTGAGGGTTTCATGTAAGGGCCGTTTAGGAATTTGGGGCTTGAGATACTGATTGTCTTTGGGCTCCAGTTGTTGGGAGGTTTGGATTTCTGGTTAGGGTTTCGGGATCAAGGATTCAGGATGTAAGGGGTTGCGGGGATAGGCCGGGACAGGGGCTACGAATGCAATAAGCTTACGGTCTATGGGATAGGCCACTGCCCCTTCCTGTAAGATTTCGGGTTTCGGGCCGGGGGATTTGATTGTGGGCTGAAGTGGTCTTTGTTTTGCAGGTGCCGAGTCTTTTGGCAGGGTCTACAAGCTCTTTTCTGACCCCAATCGCCCAAAGTTTCCAACTCGAGGTCTTCATGACTTGGAAAACCCTACAGTAAAACTCCAAATGGCCCCAGGTAGGCACCTCTTGTCTACTTGGAGTCTTCGGGAAAAGGAACTTCCCGTCGCGACTGGAACTGAATGGTCGAAACCTCCCTAGGCTTGGACCCCAAAAGTATGTAGACAAACAGCCTTTGATCGGTATTGGGCCAATATTTTACCACTGTTGGAGGTTTAGGTAGACGTAAACTGCTGCGGAAAAAAAAAACGCGCCCAGGCCTTGTCAACGACCCGTCGTAGAAGTGACACTTCCCTGTGGTAGCTCCTCCGTCTACGCATCACCCTCATCAATAGCTGTAAGCACCGTCCCACGACACCAAGATGTTGAGTCTGAAGACCGAGACTGGTCTGCACTTTAGATGAAGTCTAGGCTTGGAGTATCTCTGCCAAAGAAGCACTCTAAATAACACTCTAAATATAGCAGCGCGAACTTCACTGGCAAACAAGTCCCAAACCTCATACCCAAGGCCTCCAAGCAGCACGAAGCTTTTCACCCTAATCCGTGGACTACAGCCGCAGCTTTCAGAACAAGCAGCAGAATCATCACAGCATGCGGGGAAAGTCGGGGCCATCATGTTGCCTGGCCTAGGCCTAGTGCCACGCGCCGTTCCTTTCTCTGGACACGAAACAATCAACCTCCTCCCCCTCAACCCGCTCAGCCCTACACCGGAGTCAGGGAGCCCATATCTTCCCTAAAGTCCTTGCTGCTGCGGCAGCAGCCGGCCCTTGCAAAACCGCCAGGGTGGCCGCCAGCGGAGCCAGGTCCTCCGCTGTAAGGTTCCCTGATGTTGCCTTTTCATGGCAGGCCTTCGTTTTTTTGGGCTCCTTCAGAATATTATAGGGGCCGAAATAACTACCTATACTACTTTTGGGGGTTCCTTATTATGACTATAGAATAATAGGCCCCAAAACCCCATTCTAACTATTAAGGCCCCTATATTATACCAAAGACCCTAAACTAAACCCTGAACCCAAAGCTCCCATGTTGTGACTCGAGGCCCTTCGCAACGAAGCTCGGAGGCCTGCACTCTGCACCAGTATAGTAGCATGGACATCGATATGTAAATATACGTGTATATATATATATATAGCGAGAGAGAAGTTATATAGATATAGATACATAGATATCGAAAAGATATGGATCTCGAAAGCGATGTAGATATAGATCTATAGATACAGATATAGATACAGAGATACAGAAGTCGAAAAGATCGGATCTCGATATCGATGTCGATATAATCGGTATAGATGTGCATATAGAGAGCGCGCTTGTTCGGATCCGAACGGCCCGTCGCCAACCACCGGACAGCCGAAGAAGCCTTGGCATGGGTGACATGCGGTGGCATAGGGGCATCAACAAATGGGGGTTTCCGAAAATAGGGACCCCAATATAGTACCCTAAATAGTAGGATCCTTATTATAAGGACCCCCAAAAAGGTCCTCCTTATTTTCGGAAACTCCCAAATTCTCTAAATTAGGGTCCCTTTTAGGTCCCCAATATAGTACGGCACCCTTATAAAAAGGGACCCTAAAAGGGACCCTCATGTTGAAAACTACCCAAATACAGGATCTTGGGGGGTACATTGTAACTGTAAACTGGAAAGTGCTATCATATATATGGACGCCATCAGCATGTAGAAACTATGTCGGAGTGGTTTGGTTAGGTGTCCATGTCAAACACCTCCAAATCCTAGTTCCCACCTTAAACCCCAATCCCTAACAAGCTCAGCGGCAGTATTGGAGCCCGGGTCCCGCAAACCAAGGCTGGACAACTTGAACAAGGAATCTCTGCATGTCAACGAGCATGGCCATCCACTTAACTCTGGCCAAAAAATCTCAAACCAAAGCCCTGAGTCACCAAACCGAAACACCACCCTAAACCCTAAACCCTAAAAGCCATAACAAGGCCAAACAAAACAATGCACCCGAGGGTCTGGGCAGCCGTGGGGTCCAAAGAACGGCGACCCAAGGAAACTAGAAGCCGGCGCTCGGCAAAGGGTAAAGACCTCATGAGAGCTTGGGAGGTTAGGGTTTAGGGTTTAGGGTTTAGGGTTTAGGGTTTAGGGTTTAGGGTTTAGGGATAGGTTTTTGGCGGCACAATCACTCTGAGAGGGTTAGGTTGAGGATATAGGAGTCTTCTTTTTATGCGATGTTGACGCTCACACAGGCAACAGGGTGCAGGGCTGGTCCTTGGCCTGTGGGTTTCAGGCTTCAAGTTCGCTTTCGAGTTTGGGAGTTGCCCCGAGTGTGTCTGATTTGGGAATCTGCTTCCAAGTACTGTAGCGGCCTTAATAATTTGAAGAGGGTTTTGGGGTATATTATACTATAACCATAATAAGGCCACCCCCCAAATAGTATTAGTAATTATTTAGGCCCCTATATTTAAATTAAACGGCATTGCACGAAGACCCCTTCAACCCAGACGAAGCTTCACTGAAGGAAAGGGGGATCATGCAGTTGATCTAGTTGCTTCAGAACGACTGAATCAGTTGCACAAGTTTAGTATGATAGTTCTGTTTGCGAGGTAGACTACGACCACGACCGATCGCGACGACGCCTCCTGCTACTTCTGCCCTCGCCGGACGGGTTCCATATTCATTTTTGGGGTTCCTTACTCTAGTTACAGTATAATATACACTCAAACCCTATTCTGATTATTAAGGCCTCTATAGTACCCTTACTTTCCCTTCACCAAAACCCGGCCCACAGCCTGAGTTCGCACTCTGCCAGCGCCACCGACAGCGATGTGCCGATCTCTGCAGCTTCGTAGCCGACCTGAGCTTCTTGTAGCACAAAAATCACCCAATAGATTATGGAGTGGAGCTTTACCTTTAGATTTAGACGGCCAGAAATTTCAGCGAAATTGTAGAATCTGAAAAATAGAGCTCGAAGGTCACGCAGGCTTGAGGCCTAGGTCTTCGAGCTAGAACCGAAGCCGAGGGAGTCCATGTGGGACCATTGCCAAAACCATCCTTACATATTGGCTGCCACTGACGCCAGACATTTCGACCCCTTCAAGCTTGAGCGGCAATCAGTACCTGGCTAATGAAGCAACACCACGGCTGTCCCCTTCAAACGTGGGCCCCATGTCAACTGCCTGACTCAGTAAGCCGGAGCACTGAGACAACCGCCAATTTCTCGCGTGACTATTTCGAAGCTTTCAAACCCCGACCACAACAATACGGCGACAAGGGAACCACCACCCTAAAACAAAGAAACACCGAAGAGAATGCGGTCCCCAAAAAAGTAGCAATGAAAGCACCAATTCTGCAAAAAGTCCTCGTCTTGAGAAACAAGCTCTGCGAGTGACAGAACCTGCAGTAGCAGCAGAAGCGGTTGTGGTTGCTGTTGTTGTTGTGGCGGTGGTGGTCGTGGTCGTAGTCGCAATCGTTATAGTAGTTGTCGTAGCAGTATTCGTAGAAGTAGTAGTGGCCGTGGTAGTGGCAGTTGCAGCAGTAGCAGCAGTAGCAGCTGCAGCAGCAGCAGCAAACAAACAATTCTGAAACCTAAAGTCTTGATGCCAGAAATGTATACTGCAGCAAGGGGGAGG